CAATTATATGACAGTCTGCAGTCTCAATAAAACATAGTGTATATAACATTGAACAACACGAAAACGAGCAAAATATCAAGCTAACATTACATTATGTGATGAACAAAAACTCTTAAATCAGTTGATAGTTATTTCAAAGATAAATTCTGAAGTCATAACACAATCGTTGCTAGCATAATTAATATCAAAGAACATCTAATATATACAAAACAGTTCATTACACCAGCACTAAGTTTTGCCTGCTCTATAGAGTAATTTGCTAGCAACTGTTGTACAATGACATAGTTCTGAACTTGATGATAACCCTTAACACTTTATAATATACTATTTCCAATTTCCATCTAGATTTAGTTGTCACAAAACCGGTTCAAATTACAATATCAACGTGACGTGAAAATATAGTAAAAATTAATCAAGAAAGTGCAATAAACCTGAAGAGAGTTGTAAGGTGAAGGAGCATCTGATCCATAGACATCCCATTGACCAGTGGTGTTAGCTATATCTTCCAAGTCAAAGTAAACACTCTTGTCACCATACTTAGCAACCACTGCACCACTCCTGTATGTTACCATAAAATTACAATTTAAAATAAAGTAATCATAATTATTATTTATAAAACTCATATTTTTTATTTGTTACATGAGTATTTATATTAGTTACAAGTTTGTTACGAGTACTGTCTAGATTACATTATCAACACGACTATTAATTCCGAACAAAGAGAGTATTTACCTGGCGTTGTTGAGCTTGAAGCTCTGGCGGGCAGGCTTGATGTGAAGCTTAGTACCAGTGATGGAACTTCCAGCAAGGCCCTTGATGGTGGTGGGCTGCACGGCAGCCAAGGTTGCTAGAGAAGCCATTTAATTGGGTATGTATGTGTTTGTACCAAGTGAAGATTTTTCTTTCTCTGATTATCACTTGGCTAAAATTAGTACATAGCCAATGTTTAAGTTTTTGTGGAACAGAATGAATCTAAGTTGTCCACGTGGCATTGCTGATTTTCTTGGGATAGATTTGAACTCCTACCAGGTTGTGACACTTGGATTTTGAGCTGGATAAGGCTATCTAATTTGATTCTCCTTGCTTTGGTTTGTATTTTTGCTTAGGTTCTTTTAAATGAACTTATTACTTGTAAAAGATTTTATTTTAAAGTTCAAAGATTTGGATATCAAGCATGGTGGTTTAAACTTAAAAGTCAAAGTATTTCAAGAGCAAGAAATTAATCTCGTCTACATCATTGTTTTTTGTGACTCTATATGCCAAAAACAAAATACAGTAAAATATTAAATATAAGAATTAATGATCATAACGCATAACGACATAAAACTAGTTAGGATAATTACTTTGGCCTCTAACAACTAAATCTAGTAGTCCTCTACAACTGAATTCTACCACCACAATCATTTGATATATTTGCATTAGAGTATTAGACATAAAACAGTAAACACATACGCAACAAGCCAACAATACTAAAACAAAAACTCCCATTTCATTGCATGGTCACCCAAATTACATATTTCTTGGGTTGAGATGCTTGGGCTTAGCAACAACAATTATGCAAAGCCATGATGAGTTAAAACATACCTGTAAATTGATTGGGCTTAAAATCGACGGTTATTAGGCTAAGTCTGAATTAAAACTTATGAATTGCTTGAGCATAAAATCAATGTTATTAAAGCTAAGCCATGAATTAGACATTTTTATGGGTTGAAATGCAGGGATCCAAACTAATATGAAGTATTGATCATTTATTCATCTCTTATACGAGTACTATGTATATACTAATCGATGACTTCCTGACCTAGTAGCAAAGACTGAGAAGCTACGTACAATTATACAATAAGGGCATATTCACATTTATTGAACTGAACTAAAGTGAACTAAACTGAGCTGGAATGAATATTTTATGAGAGAAAGAAATTAAGAGCTGAAGTTAACTGAACTAAACTGATTAGAGCTAAACTGAACTGAAATTAAGCTGAAGTGATCAGGCACTAAGTCATAGGTTTAGTTTCAAGTTTAATTAAAACATTTTGAAATAAAATGGGTTGGTTTGAAATATGTTCATTTGATTACTATGTCAATATGTACTCTCCGCCCCCCCCCCCCTCCCAATTTGAGACGACTAAGGGTTAATAATCATGTTGGGTATTGGCTTGAGAGGGAGTTGACCCGGATTAAAACATGTACGAGTTACAATTTGGTTGGGTCATAAACAACTCAGCATAATTGGGTAATGGGTTGATACAGGTTCATTTGACTAGAGATATCAATTCGGGTGTCTGGATCAAGTTCAGTGATACCTCTACATTTGACCAATGGGTCGATTTCGATTAGTGACCAAATCATTCAATATCGGGTTGAGCCATATTGGTGCATTAACTTTGCCTATAGTCCACTACATCTAAACCTCAATCCAACCCTCAAACCAAATACCAATCCAGCCCACAACAAACACACACTTCCTCAATCCTCATCCTCTTCTTCATCTTCCACCCAAACAAAAAGATGAGCTAATCCCCTCATCCTCAATCCAAATTCCCAACAATGTCTCTCACTTTCTCTCTCCTCAAACCCCCTCTCTCCTCATCCAAACCCACCACCCCATTCCTCCATGGCACCACCACCACCACCACCAAATTCTCTCTCCTCCCATCATTCTCCGCCCTCTCTCTCTCCACCCCACCACCCTCCTCCACCGCAACCTCCACCTTCCCCATCATCAAAGCCATGAGATCAATGCAAGGCAAAGTCGTCTGCGCCACCAACGACAAAACCGTTAACGTTGAAGTCACTCGTCTCGCACCCCACCCCAAGTACAAGCGTCGGGTCAGGATGAAGAAGAAGTACCAGGCCCATGACCCGGATAACAGGTTCAAAGTTGGTGATTGGGTTCAGCTTGAAAAGTGTCGGCCCATTAGTAAAACCAAGACTTTTCTTGCTGTTTTTCCTGAAGGTAGACAGCTTCCTGGGCCCAGGCCCAAGCCCGTTGTTGCTGATGCTGATGCTCCCAATGAACTTGGGATTCCTCTGGAATCTCAGGCTGGTGAAGGGGATAAGACTGTGTGAGTGAGTTTAGGTTTTCAATTTTGGGGTTTTAGGATGTGTTTGTAAGGTGTTTGATGAAATGCCTGACTCAATATTTGGGGGGTTTTGGTTCAATTGTAATCATAACATTTGTATGTTTTTCTACTGTCTAAATTTAATGTAAGATTTTGTTATAAATTTTTATTTATTTTTTGAGTAATTTACTAGTAATTTACTACAGTTTCTTTCAATGTCATTTGAATATATTAGTGTTTAATGAAGTCTAAGTACTTGACTACTGAATATCTTGATTTTTTTTTTTTTTGGGTGATAATTCTGTAGTTTAATGTTAATTTTGAATACTGCGTAGTATTTTTAGTTGAAATTGAAACACAAGTTTACCGAGAGTGAGGAATAGCTTAGAGCTTAATGGCCGGTTCCAAAAATCAATTCTCATCACCCGCCCTTATAATCCTATCATCGAAATAATATCATATGCTATCACTCTATCAGCCTATATGTATAAGGACGGTTCTGTTTCGTATCCAGATTTTGGTGATCAATCCGCGTATTTGAAACTGTCAAAGCATAGTATTTTAAAAATAAAAATGCACTGGCTTGATAACCATGTTTTGTAAAGAAATACCAGTCAAAACTTGAAAATAATCAGATCACATTGCTATGTAAAGGAAACCAATTCAAAAGCATTACATTTTCATGTTGCAAATAATCTGATCTGATCCCATTAGTGCAGATTGAAATGGAAAAGAAGAAGAAGAAAGCAAAGAATTGCTTGACGAATGCTGGGAGATGATCTTTGGTCGTCTTGAGCATGAAAGAGACCAAGAATCAATCAGTTTAGTCTGCAAGAGATTCCTGTCAATCATCAATTCCTTAAAAGTTAGCTTAAAAATCCCAGAATATACAACAATCTCAACCATCTCTAGGCTGGTGCAACGATTCCCCAACCTTAAGCAGATACAGTTCAGTGACTTCCGAGGAGACCTGAATGAAGCTGTTGTTGTAATTGCACGGTCTGGATTGGACTTGGAAGAGTTATTGGATATGGCACATGATCGATATAAACGAGCAGTTTGGTTAGAGGAGCTGGGTTCAAACATGAGGAATCTGAAAGTACTGAGGTTTGCAGGTGGAGAAAGAGATGCTGATCTTGTCAGGGTAGCAGACTCGTTCCCTCAGCTCGAGGAACTGCATATGAGGGACCGTGTTAAGGATGATGATGGTAAACTCATTGTTGCGACTGATAAAGGGATAGATTATATGTCATTGAAGCTCAAGAGATTACGCAAGATAGAGCTTTCAGTTGTTTAGTAGTACTATATATGTATAAGGTATAGTTTGAAACTGTGTTTATTGTAATAAATAAGTACACTAGTAGATTGTACTCGCAATTTACTATGTCCATATGTTTAATTTCCGCTTTCATTGTTATGAAAATACCATTTCTTTTATTCTGCTGTAAAAATTATCTTGCCCCGGTTTAAATTTGAGGGTAATTCTGTTGATTTTTTAAGTTATAAATGCAGTTTACACAAGAAATTAAGAAGACAGGGAACTTCCAGTTAGTAGTTAAGTGACCAGGTGCTTTACAATACATGCAACATTTTTAAAGGGTACAACTCTGTGAAAGAACTAAATGAGTGAATTGCATACAATTAAAATTTAAGCAGACTTGTAGATAACAAGTGCCAAAGTTTATGACATGTAATACAAAGCTAAATATTTTTCGTATGCAGATTTTGGTGATCATTCCGCGTATTTGAAACTATGTCAAAGCGTAGTATATTGAAAATAAAATGCACTGGCTTGATAACAATGTTTTGTAAAGAAAACCCAGTCAAAACTTGAAAAGATCAGATCACATAGTTATGTAAAGGAAAGGAAACCAAGTCAAAAACAATACATATTCATGTTGCAAATAATCTGATCTGATTCCATTGGTTCAGATTGAAATGGAAAAAGAAGAAGAAGAAAGCAAAGAATTGCCTGACGAATGCTGGGAGATGATCTTTGATCGTCTTAAGCATGAAAGTGACCAAGAATCAGTCAGTTTAGTCTGCAAGAGATTCCTGTCAATCACCAATTCCTTAAAAGTTAGCATAAAAATCCCAGAATGTACAACAATCTCAACCATCTCTAGGCTGGTGCAACGATTCCCCAACCTTAAGCAGATACAGTTCAGTGGCTTCCGAGAAGACCTGAATGAAGCTGTTGTTGCAATTGCACGGTCCGGGTTGGACTTGGAAGAGCTGTTGGATATGGCATATGACCGGTATCAGCGAGCAGTTTGGTTAGAGGAGCTGGGTTCAAACATGAAGAATCTGAAAGTACTGAGGTTTGCAGGTGGAGAGGGAGATGCTGATCTTGTCAGAGTAGCAGACTCGTTCCCTCAGCTCGAGGAACTGCATATCAGGGACCGTTATAAGAATGATAATGGTAAAATCATTGTTGCGACTGATAAAGGGATGGATTATATGTCATTGAAGCTCAAGAGATTACGCAAGATAGTGCTTTCGGATAGATTATATGGTATTTCAGATAAGTCCCTTATTTCCCTGTCAAAAAACTGTCCATTACTAGAGCAAATTGAGGTCACTGTTAGTGGTTCTGTGACAGCAAAAGGAATTTCATTCCTTGTTAACAATAGCCATCATTTGAATTCATTATACCTATCTGCACATTTTAAAATCGAATCATTCGGTGTCAAAGGCTCTACTGATTTAACCAACTTACAATCTCTCATGTTAACAAATGTTGAAATATCAGATGATTTTCTCGTTTCTATAATAGAAGCACGAATCCCTATTGCTTGCTTGTTTCTAGCAGATTGTGAAGGGTACACGTTTAGTGGGATCTCAAGGCTCCTACAACACTTATCTCAATCTCTAAAATCTTTAGCCTTGGTGAGTGTTGAATTCCTCACAAATGAGCATATAGAGTACTTGTCCTCTTTTCTCGAAAACCTGACATCAATTCAGCTCCGTAGTTGTTCCAATCTGTCTGAATCAGCTTTTGTTATGATTACACAAAGATGCCTTCGTCTATACCATTTTGCAATGACTAATTCAAGCGTCGGAAGAGAAGAGTACATTTATGATGGCCTAATGAAGAAGAATCGCGCAATAAAGTACTTGGACCTATCATTACATAAAAACTTTAGCCCTGCAGCTCTGAAAAGGCTTCTTAACATATGTCCCGAAGTAGAGAAGCTTGATCTAAGTCATTGTTTCTTACCCCGTGATCAACTGAATGTTCCTTTTATCTTTGAGTGCAACTTGTACTCAGGGATATCGTGCAACAGGAGTCCTGCAGAATTGGATTTGACTGTGTCCAATAGTGTGGAAGATTACGAAATAGACATGGAGTTAGAGTTGTCAGTGTTAGAGGAGTTGATCGTGAGTTATTCAGGGATTAACGATAAATTGCTTACAAAGATCAGCCCTAGATTGACTCACCTGGATCTGGAGGGTTGCAAGAATGTGACAGAAAAAGGGGTAAAGGAAGTGGTGAAATCGTGTAAACGACTGAGATACTTGAACATAAGTTATTGTGATAAACTGGATTTCAAAATAATAGCATGGATACTGACAAACAGATCATCCCTGAGAAAACTGGTCTCAACAACATCATATGATCACAGATACCAAGACGACGATAACCTGAAACTCTTCCTGCAGCAAGGCTGTCTGACAAACAGATCATCCCTGAGAAAACTGGTCTCAACAACATCATATGATCACAGATACCAAGACGACGATAACCTGAAACTCTTCCTGCAGCAAGGCTGTCTTGTCCTCAAGGGTATAGACTACTCTAAACTCGATGACCTGTTTAGTACCATGTATGTGGTATAGTTTGAAATTGTGTGTATTGTGATAAATTGTACACCAGTAGATTGTTATCGCAATTTACTATGTCCAAATGTTTAATTTCTGCTTTCATGATCAAAGCTTGTATGAAACTCCCATTTATTTTATTCTGCTGTGAAAATTACCTTGCCTTGGTTTAAATTTGAGGAGTATCCTGCTGTTTTTTAAGTTAGAAATGTAGTTTACTCGAGAAATTCATAAGACAGGATACTTCCAGTTGATAGTTAAGTAACCAAGTGCATGCTTCACAATTCATGTAACATAAGGGCTACAAGTCTGTGAAAGAATTAAAGGAATGAATTGTAGACAATTATAATTTAAGCAGAGACCTGTAAAGAACAATTGGAATTGAAGTATGAGACCATATAAATCTGAACTGTTTTGTTAGATTATAATTTGCTTCTAATATGATGCCTCATATGTTTCTCCCTTGTTCTGTACCTTGAAAAAGAGGCACAAATTCATGTTACAAGTTCGAAAGATCTATGAGAACTTGGGGAGATCAGATGGAAAAACAAATTGGACTAATACGCCATAAAAGCAGAGACATCAAGGGTAAATCTATAATATTTTACAGCTATAGATCTCTACCTAATTACAGGAAATCCGAGTATAACTCATCCATCCTCACATTCCAAGCTTGTCTTTATTTTCCCAAGTATGCATGCTATAACTGAGCTAACTGGCTCTACGGATTCCACTGTGAGCTTCGCTGCAGGAGAGCTATTTGTGACTACTTGTAAAGCTATTGTGAGCAAAGACCCTCCTTCGGAGCTTCTCTCTTCTTGCCTAGAAGTAAGCACAAGGGGTCTTGACTCTGATCCATCTGGGAGGATTGAGAATCCGGAAGGCAAAACCGCCACGTTGCCAGAGTCACAACCTGTCATGACTGACTGCAGACCTGATATTTCCACAGGGGCATAGACCACCATAGATTCATAAGCATTTGTGCTGTTATCTTGGAGTACCCAGTTCGCGTTTTCCTTAGACTTCATTGTCTGACATCAAAGTGCAGAAAATCGTGTCACATATAGAGGCAAATATGTTGAACACAAAGCTCTGATATTGCACAGCACAGAAAAATAAAGCTACCTGAATGCTGACTGAATTGCCTCGATCCTGTCCTTTTGCTAAGTTTGCAATTGATTGTACTTGACCTCCGTTTGCCATTACATCCCACTGCATGATATGCAATAATATTTCAGGACATTAATAACGAAATTTTGGACAAGAAATGTTGTATAGAGTGTTGAACCTCATGCCGGCGTGAGTCATCTCTTAAGAAATCAAACAGAACACTGGGAGATACAGGAAGCCACACAGATGAGACGGCACATAAGATAACTCCAATAGGTTCACAGGGATCATTCAAGTTTTTTCGCGATGATACTCTAACATCTTCGCCTGTTTTAGTTGTGATCTTGGTCCATGAGTTGGAAGTGGATGCTCCTAGTGCTCGGCAGAAGCTCCATGTCATTCTCTGAGCCAACTTTAGTATGCTCTTTCTCCCAGCTAATGTGCCAACACCTACAACCAGATAATGATATTACTCTGCTTGCCAAAACATTTCAAAAACAGTCTAATTTTTGGGAGAAAATTTCCAATGTACCACTTGAATCCTTGGTAGGAACATTAGTAGCCATGAAGAAAACCAGGCGTTCGCATTGAAGTTGCAGGGTAGCCATCCAATGTTTAGCACCAAAGGCAAGGCCACTGCTAACTATGGTTCTGTACAAGGAATGGACCGCGCTCTTTTGGCATTCCACATGCTCTACCCAAGTAACCTAATAATCATACTTACACATTAGTTAAACTTGTGTTTTGTATAACTAGTTTGGACTATCAAAATTCTTAAAACTAAGCATCTTTTGTATGTATGTGCACCTTGCAATGGCCATTTGATTTATCTTCTATGATGCAACCAGAAGGCCGTTTTCTACACTTTATTAGTGAAGCATCAATGTTATCTTCAAGATTGTCTATGGACACATCAACAATCGCCCACTGCTCGGGGCTCAATTGTTTGCAACATCGTACAAAGTACACCTCTCTTGTAGGAACCATTGGTGTCAACATTTGCAACTCAGCATACATCTGCATAGAATGTACTAAAATAAACTATATTGTCCAAAACAATGTTGTGAAAATTTCGCTCAGTAGATAATTACATGATTCTTCCTATCTTCTATGAGGCCTTGTTCTTTTAACCTTATAAATAATAGAACAGTGAGAGTACAGATAAGGGCCGATAAGTTCAAATAGTTCATACAAGGATAATAGTTCCAATCATATAAGGATCGAGAAGTTTATATAGATGAAGCCTAGACCCCATATTCAACCTCGTAATACTTAAATTCAGCAAGACACTGTGACATCTAAGTCTGAATAGAACAAGGTTCCAACTTAACAGAAAAAATGTATGTAAATTTAAGGAAGTCAAAGAGTGTAATCATGAGTCATTTTTATATACCAAGTACTACCAACATTTGGTGCAACATGAAACTATTGTTTGATTGATATATAATGCAACATTGCTTCAAGAGTAATTTCGCAAAAGCTATTTTCGCAAATGCTCTTGACTTATTCGTTAAAATCATCAATTATAGCTAAAATGTCAAATAAAAGGTCTTTTTGACATTGAGTTGGGTGGTAGTGATGAGAAAAAGGTTGAATCTGTTAAATTAGGGAGTATTCTATGTGAAAATGATTATGTTTTTGTTGCACCCTACTTTTAGGGGAAAAAAAAAGAGCACCTGAAATTTCCTCAACTACACTAAGAAAGAGCCAAAAACTCGTACGTTTTAATCATTCTAATCATAATGCAATTTATAGTCCATGTTTAATAATGATGACTACTTACCAACTGAACTGCACCATCTCTATTGAGACCTTCACCATTGCAGATGACATCCACCAAAGCCGCCTTGGAAACCAAGCATGGGAATATCTCCTTCCATTGATTCTACGAAAAAATACAAATTCATTGAGGATAAGTATCCTCTACAATACTAGATGTTCTTGTACATAAGCAACAAACACTAACAAAAGAAAACCAAATTGTTTTTTAAGTCTAGAGTTAATGCTAATAGTTATTATATATCTTACCACATCCATGAAGCTTTGAACTAGTCTAGGAAGATCCACGAAAACAACTCGACTTTCCCTTGAGGCCTCTATTGATCTTCTAGGCTTTGCACCATCACTTGAGTTCTCCACAGAAAACTCTCTGATATACTCATCGTAGTTTAGTATTTCTCGGTCAGTCTCCACACTTTTCAACCACAATGGCTCCCCTAAAGTCGCCATCTTTTTTAGTTCTTCCAATGATTTATCCACAGCATCCATAATCTTTGACTTGTCAATGCCAAAGACCCCAGTGTACAAATCTAAGGAGCTTCTACTATCTTGATCATTTGAAGTCGAACATGAAGCTGTTGGAGAGACTCTTCCTGGTGGGTATTTTCCCACCACTGCTCGAAGTTTCTCAACCTATATAACATGAAAGAACAGATATATATAATTAAGTTTGCTTTGTTTTTATTTTTAGAGTGAAAAGGTTTCAAGTGAAATAATTATACCTCAGCTTTAAGTCTAGCATTTTCGAGTTTTAACTGCTGCTGATCATCAGCTGTTGCAGTATTGTCTCTACTAGTAGTAGCAAATCCGCAGTTGGGGCAAGAAGATTTATGTGTGTTATCTCTTAAGGACTTGTTCTCCTCTTTTAGCTTTTCTAGCTCCGTTTTCAATAAGGAATTTTCATGGCGCTCTTGTATAGCCTGATACATAAGAAGCATGCACCGATGCACATACGTAAGATGCAGTGTAAAGTTACATGTGTGTGTTTTCGTTCAAAATTAATAGTCACGTATGTCAGAGGTTAAGACAATGAAACAACTGTTTTAGATGGATGGATTATAGACATTGAGTAATAAAGATTACCTTAATTTGAGTTCGGCGATTTTGAAACCAAAATTTGACTTGCCTAGGATGAAGGCCTAATTGTTTGCTAAGTTGTTGCCTTTGCTTCTCATCTGGATGTGGTGACTCTTTAAACAGCCTGCATTTGTTTGTATTATCAAGTACAACTTCAAATAATGCAACAAACTAAATTGAAGTACGTAAAACATTATCTTTAGCTAAATTAAGGGTTATTTGTATTAATTACTCCATGTTATTGGTTGCATACAAATTTATTCAAAAAAAAAGGTTACATACAAATTGTAATTTGAATAAATAAATTATTCTTTTCATCTACTGATAAGTTGTAAGTGCAACCCATTTAAACATTTTTAGATTAAATTAGACCTTAAAAAATTCAAATCGGAACACCTTATTTAAAGTAGAGTAGTCTACGTAATATGATTTATATCATACATACTTGCATGTTATTGGGGAACAAAATCAAATGGGAATTGAAGTTGATGATATAATAATCACGGATCTACAAGTTAATTTGATGATTAGTGCAATTTGTTTCATTAATTTAGGTTTAGGGAGGACCTATGCAATCATAAGAAGATAAAAAGATTTGTGGGACTGGACTAACATGAGAGATCAAATTAGGAAAGGGGAAAAAAATTGAATTATAATGAGTGCACTTAAAACAATATTATCATGATTTTCACACTAAAAAGGTTGTCTGATGATTAATGGGACTTTTTGCAAGATGAAATTAATACAGAAAAAAAATTATAAAAACTCTGAAAAATATATAGCCTTATTTGTGCTTACACTTAAAAATAAACAATATATGAAATTTTATTTGACATAAATATTATTCAAAAGAGGCATTGTATTAAGAGAGCCACAAGGGCGGGTGATGAGAATCGATCCTAGGATCACCTGGGACCGGGAGGGGAGGTCTAACCACTTGAGCTATCCCTCACTCTCTCCGTACCATTTTAATAGGCCAGATATTATATTGAACGTCCCAGATTAATAACGCTTTTCTCAACAGTTGTAAAAATAAATCAATGGTAATTCTG